AAGAAGAAGGCAGAGTTACTGATCGCCTTCTTTGCCTCAGTCTATACTGCTGGAGGCTATCCTGATGAGCCCCGTAACACTGAGGCTCCTGAGGAAGTCAGGATAGAGGAGGAGTCTACCCTGGTTGATGAGGACTTGGTTAGGGACCAGTTAAGCAACCTGGCCATCCATAAATCCATGGGTCCTGATGGGATGCACCCGCGGGTGCTGAGGGAGCTGGCAGATGTCATTGCCAGGCCACTCGCCATCATCTATGCTAAATAGTGGGGAATGGGAGAGGTGCCTGAGGACTGGAGGAAAGCAAACGTCACTTTGGTCTTCAAAAAGGGCAAGAAGAAAGACCCAGGTAACTATAGACCGGTCAGCCTCACCTCCATCCCTGGAAAGATAATGGAACAACTTATCCTTGGTGCTGTCTCTAGGTGTATCAAGGATAAGAGGGTCATCAGGGGCAGTCAACATGGCTTCACTAAGGGGAAGTCGTGCTTGACAAACCTGATAGCCTTTTAAGAGGACATCACCCAGTGGGTGGATGATGGTAGAGCAGTGGATGTGGTCTAGCTTGACTTCAGTAAAGCATTTGACACAGTCTCCCACAGCATCCTCACAGCTAAACTGAGGAAGTGTGGTCTGGATGATCAGATAGTGAGGTGGATTGTGAACTGGCTGAAGGATAGAAGCCAGAGAGTAGTGGTCAATGGGACAGAGTCCAGTTGGAGGCCTGTATCCAGTGGAGTCCCTCAAGGGTCTGTACTGGGACCAGTATTGTTCAACATATTCATAAATGACTTGGATGAGGGGATAGAGTGCACGGTCAGCAAGTTTGCTGATGACACTAAACTGGGAGGAGTGGCTGACACACCTGAAGGCTGTGCTGCCATTCAGAGAGACTGGGACAGGCTGGAGAGTTGGGCAGGGAGAAATTTAATGAAATACGACAAGGGCAAGTGTAGAGTCTTGCATCTGAGTAAGAATAACCCCATGTACCCGTACAAGTTGGGGACTGAACTGTCGGGGAGCAGCACAGGGGAAAGGGACCTGGGGGTCCTGGTGGACAGCAGGATGACCATGAGCCAGCAATGTGCCCTTGTGGCCAAGAAGGCCAATGGCATCCTGGGGTGTATTAGAAGGGGTGTGGTTAGTAGGTGGAGAGAGGTTCTCCTCCCCCTCTACTCTGCCCTGGTGAGGCCGCATCTGGAATATTGTGTCCAGTTTTGGGCCCCTCTGTTCAAGAAGGACAAGGAACTGCTTGAGAGAGTCCAGCACAGGGCCACAAGGATGATGAAGGGAGTGGAGCATCTCCCTTATGAGGAAAGGATGAGGGAGCTGGGTCTCTTTAGCTTGGAGAAGAGGAGACTGAGGGGGGACTTCATTAATGTTTATAAATATGGAAAGGGTGACTGTCATGAGGATGGAGCCAGGCTCTTCTCAGTGGCATCCAATGATAGGACAAGGGGAAACGGATATAAGCTGGAACATAGGACGTTCCGCTTAAACATGAGGAAGAACTTCTTCCCAGTAAGGGTAACAGAACACTGGAACAGGCTGCCCAGAGAGGTTGTGGAGTCTCCTTCTCTGGAGATGTTCAAAACCCGGCTGGACGCGTTCTTGTGTGATCTAATCTAGGTGGTCCTGCTCCGGCAGGGGGATTGGACTAGATGATCCTTTGAGGTCCCCTCCAATCCCTAACATTCTGTGATTCTGTGTGATTCTGTGATTCCAATGAGTCCTTTATCACTGGGTTTTGTGTGTGTGTGTGTGGGTGCATAAACCCACCAAAATATTGCATAAAAAAAGTACAGTTCTACCCACTATTCCCCAAGTAGCAGGTAAGACACTTTAGAGCAATCTATTTAAAACTTTGTTTCCAGTTCTTCCAAGACCATTCTCTCCATAGTATCCTAAAAATCTTCCCAAATCTTGCCAGATCCTGTAATGAGCCTATATATTACCCTGAGCATGTTTACACATTGCTATCATAAGCTGAACCCATATGAGGCAGTCCTTTGAATTTCAATAGGTTTTGAAAAAAAATAAAACTCTTGATTTGCCAGCTCTAAATCTTGAGACTGTTTATGAACATGACTGCAAGGAACCCTTGTGTCCTGGAGTAGTGGGAAGCTTGCCCTGAAGTTGCCAGTTACCAGGA